GTTGATAGCCTAAATATATAAAGAACTCACAAAATTCAATAGAAAAAAAAAAAGCTTGATTAAATATGGGCAAAGGATATGAATAAAAATTTTTCCAAAGAAAACATACAGATGGCCAACAGGCACATGAAAAGATGTTCAACATCATTGATCATGATGGAAATGCAAATTAAAACCACAATGAGATATCACCTCATATCTGTTAGAGTAACAATTATTAAAAAGACATGGATCACAAGTGTTGGAAAGGATGTGGAGACAAGAGACCCTTGTGCCCTGTTGGTAGGAGAGTAAATTGGTGCAGCCACTATGGAAAACAGTATTGAGGTGCCTCAAAAAATTGAAAATAGAATTACCATAAGATCCAGCAATTACATTCCTGGGTATTTATCCAAAGAAAACTAAAATACTAATTCAAAAAGATATTTATCCTTATGTTCACTGTAGCATTATTTACAATAACCAAGGTATGGTAACAACTTAATCGTCCATCGATGAACGAATGGGTAGAGATGAAGCATATTTAGACATGAAATACTACTAAACCATAAAAAAGGATAAAATCTGGCCTTCTGTGACAGCATAGATGAACCTAGAGGGTATTATGCTAAATGAAATTAAGTCATACAGAGGTAGACAAGTAATATATGATCTCACATGTAGAATCTAAAAAACAAAGCAAAACTGCAAAAAAACCCAAACAAACCCAAAATGAAACTCATGGATACCGAGAACAGAGTAATAGTTGCCAGGGTGAGTGGGAGAGGCTAAATGGGTAAAGGGGTTGGGGAGGTCCAGACCTCCAGTGTGAAATGAGTAGGTCACGGGGATGCTGTGTGCAACTCGTTGATTAAAGTTAATGGTATTGTGGTGCATACTTGAATCTTGTCAGGGCAATGATTAAAATTCTCATCACAGGGAAAAAAATTCATTTGTACCTTAAAATTTTTTTTATTTATTGATTTGAGAGAAACATCAGTTTCTTGTTCCACTTATGTATACATTCACTGATTGATTCTTACATGTGTCCTGTCCGGGGACCAAACCCACAACCTTGGAGCATTGAGCTGATGCTCCAACCAACTGAGCCACCTGGCCAGGGCTAATTTGTACCTTTTTTATAGTGACTGATGATGTAGTGATCATTTCACAATGTATACAAATTCGAATCATTACTTTGTATACCTGAAACTAATATAATGTTGTATGTCAATTATACCTCATAAAAATTTTTAATAATATATAAATTAAAAAACATGAATCTTGTATGAGGGAAGGGAAAGCATCGAAAAGTTAAAATACAGTTAAGTTCTTATGCTGTCCATAGGGTTTTGGAAACTGTGACTTTAAGCTAAACAATATATAATGAAACCAATTTTACCCTGTTAATTAATATAAACAAGAGTTAAGTTCCTAGGGCATATTTCTGATCACAAAAATATAACCAAACTACTAAATAAAGACCCTAAAACACTTCTAATATTAAACACTGAAATAAATGTGAGCTATATATACAGTTAAGAAAGATTAATAAAAACAAGTAAGATGATTACTTTCTAACTCAATCATTCCAGTTCAGGATCACAGATGGCCAGAGTCTATTCCAGCAGCTCAGGGCACAAGGGGGATACCCGTGCTGGCCAGGGCATTGTTCCATCACAGGACGCACTCACACCCTCCCTCACTCACTCAGACTGGGACAATTTAGACACACCAATGCACATCACGTACACGTCTTTGGGAGATGGAGGAAACCGAAGTACCATGCAGACGTGGGGTAAACATGCAAACTCCACTCAGGCAGTGGCCAAGTGGGAATAGATGATTTTTCTCATCAATATTATAATGAAATAACATTATTCAATGACCTGCTATAATCAGAAAATTGGAGTTGAAGTTGGACCCAAGTCACCAAAGTTACTGCTAAATACAGTAAACATCATTACAGCTTTAGAAACAAAAAGCACCAATATCCCAGGAGCAGACATCGCAACCATTAATTTATCTACTAACTACTCAAATAGTAGTTTAGCTACTAAAATGTGCCATGCCTTATGCCAGGAGCACAAATACAAAGGTAAATAAATGAAAATCCGGAGGTCAAGAAGTTCACAGTCTAGTGTGGATTCAAGACATGTAAACTGGTCATCAATGTGTGCTGCAATAAGCTCGGGTCAGCATATCATGCGAACACTCAGGGAGGAGCAACTAAACTGGAGGAGAATATAAATTTTAAAAATCATTTGAACAATTAAGTAACTGACATTAAAATTGGTGTTCTAGTAAAATATTAACTCCTCTTAGGCCCACCCTCTGGGAAGGTTTCAATCCTGACATTATTTATTGGCTCTGCATGTGGTTAGAGAAAGTTACTAGACTATCTCTCTGATTCTTATCTGTGAACAAGATAACGGTGTGTATTTTTGTCACAGTTGTGAGAATTACCTGCAAGGAGGTATGTGAAAGCACATAGAAATGTGCTTGAAATATAAAAGGAAAAGAAAGATTAATTACTATTGATCTGCTACCTGCTAAATGCACACAATCGATATTATTTGGGAGTCAGTTTAGCAAAATGGTTAGAGCAGGATTTGGAATCACTTAAACACAGGCTCAAATTCTGTTCCTACCACATGCAAACTGCAACCATTTGTTAGGCACATTTCCACTTCCTACACCTTAGTTTTCAACTGTTGGGCAGGGTAAATAAAAATAATTCCATTACACAGTTTTGAAAATTTAAAAACATAATGGTTGTAACTCAATAGTACCATGTCTAAGGAGTGGTAAATGACTATTTTTAATTGGTAACATTAATTATGTCTTTCACAGGTGTGACCATAGAAACAAGATACAGAAGCATTATGAGACTTGTCAAAGTTCATACAACTAGTGCTAGAACTACCACTACCCTAGCTCCTAGTTCAGTGTTTTAGATCTAATTTTTCTGCACCCCTCAATTACAGGGTAAGACCTTCTCCCCTGACAGTTAGCCCTGGTGGTTCTTCATCAAGGCAGAAACTCATGGGAAGCCTTCAAAATACCTAACCAGAGACTGAGGTCTTAGTGACCATGCTTTAGCTCTAATGACCCATGAATTGTGTTCCCCAAAACACGTACGTTCAAGTCTTAATATGCAATGTAACTGTGTTTGCATTTATTCCAATCTAGCTGAGGTTGGCTTTGCGTGTTAAATAAATATTGAACTGCTGCCTAATCCCACTAGAGGCCAACCATATAGCCACATCAGTTCCCTCAATTTCGTATATTCCAAGAGGGCTAGTCTGCTTTAGTAGAAAAGTATAAAGTCAGAGACCCAGTTCTACTACTGAGTCTACAACTTAATAGTAGACGTGAAACCAAATCTCAGTTTTCCATCTGGAAAATAGGAATAACTATACAAACAGGTTTTGTGAGGGCCAAATAAGATTACAATGCATATAAAATCAATCACCAGCTAAAGGACTTGGAAAGTAGACAAAGACTGATGGCGGCTGCTTTGCTTCTTCCTCTCTCGCCCTAGTCCCGAGCTCCTCCCCGCTTCTCTCCCAGCTCAGATCCTGAGATGGTTTCAACTGAGCCACAGAAATTCGAAGGGGGCTCTTTCTGCAGACTGCCCTGGCTTCGTTCTTTCCCCAGATTTAGCTATTAGTAGCTGAACAGACTATAGAAACCAAGCTATGTTGTCTAAAACACAGCAATCTAGGTGCTACTTGGATCTTTCATGCCCTTATCTTTATATTCTTGAACTTTAACAGAGCTGCCATGAGGACTCCACCACAGAAAGTCTGAACTAAAATAACAGACTGTATGATTCAGTTATCAAGGGTGACTCAAACTTGTAGCAGATATTACTAGCTGATAACCAATATATAAAGCTAAACTCTCAAGTCTTAGCTGGTCACATGAATGGACATACGGCTGCCTAGCCAATGGCTACATTTCCCAGTCACTCTTGCAGCCTAGTGGAGGCTTAAGTAATCAAAAATGGCGTGGCCCATTTCCACATTATGCTCCTTGCAAAACAATGTAAATGGATTTCTCCAGTTCTTTTTATTCTTCCACCTCTTGGGTTGGGAACTGATGAGAATGAGAGTAGCCACCTTGGGCCCAAAGTTCAAGGCTGCATTGTGAGAATAGCAGAGCTGCCCTGAGAGTCACTTATCTCTACTCTACCACATAAAAAGGAAATAACCTTCTATCTTGTTGAATCCACTGTACTTCTAAATTTTATTTTTAAACCATCCTGGCCAAAACACTAAACAAATATAGAAGTATTTGTATTTAATCAGGTATAACTGCTTACCTGATGACAGCTTACTGGAACTGTAAGTAGTAACTACAAGAAATAAACATCTTTCTGTGAAATGAGCGTGCAAGCCTTAAACATTAAACTGTCAGCTATTGTTACATGGATCTTGCATCTGAGTTCTCTTCACCAGGTAAACCCCTACTAGTCCCCCACACCTATACTATCCAGTCAGTGCCACAAAAAACTGGAAGTCTGAAACCCTATAGCCTTAGTTCTGACTAAGAACTAAACTAAGAACTGACCACTGGCTCATGTTCCAGTTTCTGTCTTGTTCCTGATTTTTTTTCATGTTGGTATCTTCAATTATTTTTTTCTGTTCATGACCTTGCTGGATTTCTTGAACCTAATTCACAAAACATTTTACTTGTAATGACTGGAAATGATCCATACACCTCCACTCGTCCCTTGATTATGCTACTCTCAACTGCTCTATGCAAATATTTTCTTCAGTCTAGCTCAATGTCCAAGATTCTATATTTCAGTGCAGAGTTACACAGCCTATATCTGCACTCAGTTCCTCTAAGTCCCACTCTAAGGACCTACTAGTCATGGCCTACTCATCTTAATTCATTTTTCTTGTTAAAACAGGGCTGTGTTCCTATATTTTAATTCACACTAAAATAAAAAAACTTCAACATCCTCATATATACATAGACAGAATCACTCTCCAGATTTTTTATTTTTTTACCTATTTTTCTGTAATTATCTGCAACCAAGTCTTCCAAACCAATCATCTTCCAAAAACTGTCGTCCCAGCCTTTCTCCGCTGAGTATGTCCATTTGCACACCAGGGAGCAGAGAGACCTAGGAAAATGGGAGGGAGGTAGAACCAGTAATGTGAGTGAGATAGGCTTCCTTTATATTAGGTTACCAAATACCTGCCCCGATAGCTTCAGTAGTAGTAAAGTAGAGTAAACCAAACTAGGTAATTACACATCCCTGTTTAGATCAAAAAGTCCATTGATACCTGTTAATGAGTAGTTTCTTTTACTTTCAAAAGAATCTCAGCTCTTTATTTATATCTTGACCAAACAGTGTATATAAATATTTGTATGTTTATTTATATTTATATTTACACATTTGTAAGATACTTAGAAATTACAACCCTGACTAATGGTATTGAGCATTATTATTAAATTTTAGGTATAATATTGGTAATTGTCATTATATTTCAAAACAAGCCTCCCTATCACTTAGAGATACAGCCTAGACTATTCATGCATAAAATGATATAATATCTGGGATTTGCTTCAAAATTATAAGAGAAGGGGAAGTGAATGGAACAGAATTAGCCGCATGTTGGTGGCTGTGGGGCTGTGCGGCTGAGTGATAGGTAAGTGGTATTTATCACACTACTCTGTTTTGTACATGTTCAAAATTTTCTATTATAAAAAGTTTTTAAAAGTGCCTGGTGTGTGTGTGTGTGTGTGTATGTGTGTGTGTGTGTGTGTCTGTGTGTGTATTCATTTATCACTTTAGTCCAAAGCAATATTTAATAGGAGGAAGGCTTGAATGCTGGAAGGTGTTTTCCTCTCCAGTTCCTTTCCCACCCATTCACCTTTAGTTTTCTACATGCCAGCAATAAAATGTCATTGCAACTCTCTAAATCATGTTCTTGCACAATTCTATGCCTCTGCCCTACTCCTATCTGGAGCAGCTTCTTCACCCTGGTAACTCAAACACTTCCTTTAGCCTGGGCTAAATCCCCAGTTCGAGGTGGGTATGCCTTTGAGCTCCTGGAGTGTGCAGCTATCCTCTATCACAGCCCTTATCACACTGCTTAATTAGCTGCTTCTTTATTTATCTTCCCTATAGTCCTATTGACTTCTAATCTGTTCTCCATGTTGTGTTCAAACTTCTTAAAATAAAATCTGATGCTATCAACCCCTGATTAAAACCCTTTGCTTGTCCCTTACTACCTTCAGGGAAAAGTCCAATCCTTCACAGGACTTAAAAGAACTGACATGACCATGATGACTTCCAGTTTCCTCTTGCCATTCCCACCCTTGCTTGCTCCATTCTGCACAACTGAATTACGCATAGTTTCCCATAGTGGGCCTTGATTTCTGACTCCCCTGTGCACTGAGTACTTTGGTCCATTCTCTCCATAGTGATCTTCCCTGTAATGCACCTAACTCCTCTTTAGAATTCATGACTCAGCTCTCATTGTCCCTTTGCCTGAAGCCTCAGTGGAAGACAAGCTGAGTCCAAAGCATTTTCTCCAAGTTCCAAGATATCCTTATCTGAACACTTATCATAGGAACTGCCTCTGCCCACTCACTCCATCTCTCCCACTAAACCAGCAATGCCTTCACAGCAGTATCAGCCCCAATCATCTCTGTATCCCTAGTGCCTAGTCCACATTCAGCCGTATGTCAAACCACAATGAATACTGATTGAATGGAAGCACTGCAAAATGGTTTGTCCACTTCGCCACAGGGAAATAGTAAACCTAGGTTGTTCATGCAGTTTTAAAGAGAAACCTATCTCATACAGCCAACTAGGTGCATCTCATTCAGCCATTCACGTGGGTTCATGCCCTCACTCACTAAACATTTAGTATTCAGCCACTATGACCCGGGCACTCTGCTGGACCTGGGGAAAACAGTGGTATGTAAAAGACCTGATCCTCTGCTCTTGTGTAAGCTGACGGTTTGATTAAGGAGACAGAAACTGATCAAACAATCATACGTAAAATCATATATTAACAAATAACCAAAATGTTCTTAAGGAATCAGACAACTGAAAGTCTTTAGCAAGAATGCATGATTGGATCTGGTAAAAGGAAAAGGGAAACAAGTTTCAAGAAGGGCTCTGCAGAGGAGATGATGTTTTGTGAAGTCTAAATTTTAAAAGCAAACAAATTTATAATTTATCATCAATGAATTATTCTTCAGGTGTCACAAAGATGGCAGAACACAATGAACTATACTAAATGTCATGGATATATTGAAAGAGTGATAATGCCAGTAGAAACTTAATATATGCTCACATGCACTAAATCCTTCACCTGGTTTAAGCAAGATAAAGTTTTCAGGGGGTATAGAGAAGGCAGCCATCTGTGTAGCACATTTTGAAGAGTACACAGCAGGCTAACCCCTCTGGGCACAATGCCTGTAATTTCAGCTCCTTGGAAGTTCTGATAGGTCACTGGAAAGAGCAACACTATGGAGGAAAAGGTGATGTGGAAGGATAGTTCCTAATGATCAAACCACACAAGGCAACTCTTGACTCCCCAAATGCTCCATTCCTGTACAGGTTTCTGTGCCTCTACTTTGACTGCTCCTTAAGTCTTAATTGATTATTACTCCTTTCACTCATCCTTGTCTACTTGGCAAACCCCAAATCATTCTTACGATCTAGTTGCAAAAGTTCCCTTGCTCCCTCCAAGCTGAACTCATGGCTTTCTCCTTGGAGGTAGTATTAGAACTCGTAAATACTGCACTGTCATTCTTAACAGCTGAGCTAGGTTGAGTTTATGGCCCCCAGTCTATGGCTCTCCACATTCCACACACTTTGCCATGTAATTTGTAGTGCTTTGCCCTCTCCTCCTCTCACCTCTGCCACTGTGAGCAGGACCTCCTTTCCTACTCTGAGACTCATATTCTGTCATGTGACTGCATTTCGTTTAAAAAAAAATGAGGCAAAACAACTGCATGCCGGTTTCTAGTCTAAGTCTCCAGAGGCTTCGTGTGTTTCTGCTTGCTCATGGCATCAGCATGAGAAGATCCTGCCTGGGATGGCCCATTGGTCCCAAGAGGAGCATAAGAGACTAGTGGAAAAGAGCAATGACTGCCAAAACCAGCCTAAATCAGACAATCTAGGCAGCCAAAACACAAGTGAGTGAGTCTATCTGAGACCAGAAAAACCACCCAGCAGAGCACAGCCTAAATGAGCTACTGAGCTTGGGTTGTGGTTTGTAACAGAGCAATTGTTGCTTTAAGGCATAATTAAGTTACTCCAAGTAGATTTTTTTCCCCATTAATGGCCAGTCCTCACAGAAAGTCAGATGTTTGGAATTGAAGATGACTGAGCCCAGGGAGCAGGAAATTTTACAGCTGCGGATACCCCTGGCAACTCCATTTTCCATCAGGATTAAAGAGATACTATTAGGCTGCTTTTCACTAGGGTTTCTTTAAATCAACTCTTGGGTAATATGGATGTATAAAGACAACAGTATTAGCAAAATTGAAAATGTGCATCTAAGGCCACATGTTCTCCAGAAATCTCTACAGGAGAGCAAATATAGGACATTATACTGTCAATGAGTAAAGCCAAGGTATCTGTAGCAGAACAAAGGGTTTGCCTGTCCCACCCCACCCCCTAGCTAGACAGGAGTGCTACTTCCACCCAGGGAGAAGGGGCCACTTGCGGTTTTTTCACTGCCATCCAGAATGCCCGGTGAGCAACTGCAGTATCTTGCACTGCTTTATCAATGCCAAAGAGACTATAAAAACCTATGTGAGCTTCAAAAGAACATAAATCAATGAGTAGGCAAAAAGAAAGCAATTCCTATCTTAGGGGAAATAGTACACCAGGGAGAAGATCACTAGAGCATTCATAAGAGGCAGGTCTCACAGATGTGGAAATGATGAAAAATTGAAAGAGAACATTAACAATAAACACAATGAGAAATCAGAAGAAGAATGCAAAAATATTTTTTTCTTAACTAGCAACACTAATTTTAAATTTTAAGCTTTAGACTTTTGCAGAAGAACTAAAAAATCACTCACATTGTTGAAAATCAAATTAATGATCTGGATTGGATGACCAAGTGAATGCAGTATGTTACTACCTGCAACAAAGACACAAAGAGAGAAATAATGAGGAAAGAAGGAAGAAGCTTGGTGGGCAGATCCAGCAGGAATTGAGAATAACAGGAATTCCAGAAGGGATTTTTATTAAAAGAAAAAGAGAAGTAGAAGTAAAAACAAATGAAGGAGTTGTTATAATTAAAGGAATACAGTACCAGAATATTTTTTCTTTTAAATACTGAGCTGAAGCAAGATTTAAGCCTGCAGATTAAAAGACTCATTAAATCCAGGAAGTGAATCCAGGAAGTACTTGAATTTCAAGAATAAACAAAAATTAAATTATACAAGTTTTCAGACAGAAAGAATAAGTTACTCAGAAAGGCAAGAGATTTAGACTAGCTAAGGAATTCTCATCTATAACTCTGGAATGTATAAGACAGTGGAACAATGTATAGAGTAAAGAAAAATGATCCAAGAATCCTATACCCAGACAAAATATTATTCAGCTGTCAGGAAAAAAGGAAAATATTTTCAACATGCAAGGATTCAGGAAGTAAACTTCCCATAAATGTTCTCTGAGGAGAGCACTTGAGAAAGGATATAACCAAAAAATAATTGATCCAGAGCAACTGTCTCTACATAGGAAAAATCAAGACCAGAGGGACCGATGGTATGAACACACACATAAGTTTTAGATTTCATATATACACACATATTTAAATTTAAATAGATGATGATAGTGTGAACAGGAATTTGTAATAAGTTTTCTTGAAACACAACAGGCATGCTGTATTAGAGAAAAAAAATCTCATAATAGCCTCAAACTGAAAATATTAAGTTAAATAAGCAGAATCTCAAAGTCAGAGATTGAAAAAGAGGTACACAGGAAAAGAATTTGGGGATACATATGTGTGTTTGGGCAGAATATAAGTTGAAGGTTGGTTGAAAGGACAGAAAATGTAATCACTAACGAAAACAAAAAGCTTACAGAACTCTCAAAATAACAAGAAATAAGAAGAAAATAAAGAACAATTAACAACTCAGCCCTGG